TACTTATTAGTACTTGGGTGTTTGCAAAGTATGCAAAAGATATATCTAATAAAATGTACAATCATTTACAAAGTGAAGTGAAACAAACTAAATATGTCTTTTCCTTGTACTCTGAAAGAAGCAAAACAGCTTCTTAAATCTTAAAATTTTTTACCTGTAGTGTCACATCTATAGAAGTCACTGAATAAAAGAAAATCAGGAAAACTTTGCGATGATCAGCAGATCCACCTGGATCGCTTTATTTATTTTTTTCTTTTACATCACCATTTTCATCATCATCGTCATTATTTTTCTTTATTTTCCAGATGATTGGTTTTTTTTTCAATTTGTATTACTATCACTTTAATCATGGAAATCTGTTAAATCATTGCACAATTTGTTCTCAAAATGTACACATACAGTAGCGTATTTGAATGACCATTTTCAATGTTTCATATTTACTTTTAAAACTAGTTCAAATGAAGTCAAGAAGGAACGGAACATGTACATACATTTATCCAATACATACCTAAAGAAAATAAATAGTTATTGTAAAAAATAAAAAATACAACTGAAAAAAATACACACATTTTACAAATTGATCCCCAGGCTCCCACCCCCTGTAGGTTTATCATACAGATATATATTTTTTAACGACACCTCATATCATCTTCACTACCAAAAAAATGTTTTTAGGTCATTGTCATTTGTTTGACATGCATCGTAAACACAGAGGCTAAAGGTTTTGTTTCCTGGGCTTCCTCGGGCTCGCCCCGACCTCATCCGGCCTCTCTCTGATCTCACCCCCACGCCCCCAGAAAGCGCTCTAAATTTCGGTTATGGCTTCTGTGTGCAATAAAATGACCGGCTTCTGTCCATCCTTCTTTTTCTTCTTCTTCTTTTCTCCCTCTGAGTTGCTGTTTTGTCTCTCTGTTGCCTCTGCCATCATCAGGATTACCCAAGACCCTGAGCTGATGATTACAAGTCACAAACCTCGTAATGACACCGTGGACGCTGACTGAGGATTTCGCGTTGGAGTCTGGCTTTATATTCTAAACTTAGGTACCACTTTCTAGATAGACATAGTTTCGAAATGGCTTAGAGGTTTTAATAAATGGCATTATTTCCATGTAAAACATTAATATTTATAACAATGTACAGGACACTAATGAGATACTGAATTATTAAGTGAAAAGTGAAGTTTTTGGTGCAAGTTCCTGAAAAATTGATTTTTCCGGTGCATATTCGCCTCTAGAATAACCCTCCTTTCCTTTTTAATTCAGTCTCACAGTCACTAGAAAGATTATATTTGGTTAGAGGAACCGTTCACCTAAAAATCAAGCTTTCCACCGTCCAGAATGTTTGGGTGTGAGTTGCTCAGTTTTGGAGATATTGCCTGTCGATATGTGCGGCTTCTCTTGAATATAGCTGAAATTGATAGCACTCGATCTTTGTTGAGTTTTATGTAGAAACTATTTCATTTGCCCACCAATCAGAGGTGTAGCTGTCGAACGTTACAGCTCTGTTGAGATGAGACGCTAATGTTTGTTAGAGCTATATTCTGACACGCTGTCACTAGCAGAGGCTCTACTGTAGGTCCAGGTATAAAATGATTCTACACCAGTCTCTATAAGCAGATGTAAGTAAGTAGAGTAAGTATTTTTGCTACAAGAAGCTTTCTGGTTTCCATTTGCATTCAGTTACATTGTTAATCACATTTGCGCAGGTTTGCCTGCATGCAGATAAACAGTCTTGGCCCAGATATCTGTAGGCTACATAAAAACTTGCTGTTGCCCCAAAATGCTAAGTTAGCAGACCGACCGGTAAGCGCCCAGATTGCATTTGCTCCTTTCTTTTGTTCCACACTTATAGATTATATTAAAAATAAGTAAATCTCATAC